TATTTGTGTTTCAGTTAAGCAATTATTACCCTTTAGATGAGAAAAAGAGTTGAGCAAATAGATGTTATGGAAAAAATGTTGAGCAATGATTATCCAACAGACGAATTAAAGAGTTGGGCAAATGGATATTGTGGAGAAATAGTTGAGCAATTATTACCCAATAGATGGTTGTTTTGATAGTTGGGCAAATGGATATTGTGGAGAAATAGTTGAGCAATTATTACCCAATAGATGGGTGTTTTGATAGTTGGGCAAATGGATATTGTGGAGAAATAGTTGAGCAATTATTACCCAATAGATGGGTGTTTTGAGAGTTGGGCAAATGGATATTGCGGAGAAATTGTTGAGCAATTATTATCCAATAGATGGTTGTTTTGAGAGTTGGGCAAATGGATATTGCGGAGAAATTGTTGAGCAATTATTACCCAATAGATGGGTGTTTTGAGAGTTGGGCAACTGGATATTGCGAAGAAATTGTTGAGCAATTATTACCCAATAGATGGGTGTTTTGAGAGTTGGGCAAATGGATATTGTGGAGAAATAGTTGAGCAATTATTACCCAATAGATGGGTGTTTTGATAGTTGGGCAAATGGATATTGTGGAGAAATAGTTGAGCAATTATTACCCAATAGATGGGTGTTTTGATAGTTGGGCAAATGGATATTGTGGAGAAATTGTTGAGCAATTATTACTCAATAGATGGGTGTTTTGAGAGTTGGGCAAATGGATGTTGCAGAGAAATTGTTGAGCAATTATTACCCAATAGATGGGTGTTTTGATAGTTGGGCAAACTGGGAGTTGGGTAAAAACTGGTTGGGCATTTAATTAACCAACATTAAACTTACTCAAAAGTTGGGCAAATAGAAGGTTGGGCAATATCTAACTGGGTAAAATTGGTTGGGCAAGAAATTACCCAACTGAAAATATAACCAACTGTTAGGCAATTGTAGAGTTGGGTAAAATATGATGGGTCACCAACTGATGGGCAATTTAATTTGCCCAACCACATAGCAAACTGATTACCCAACATCAGTTGGGCAGATTTTAACCAATAGTTGTGTGGACCGTATGTTGCTCAGTGTTGGTTAAAAGTTGGGCATTTTTTTGCCCAACTATTTTAAGTGTGTTCTTTTCTTGCCCATATAATAAAATCCAATAAGACTCATTCAACATGTTGCATGTTGAATGTATATATTACAAGTAGGTGTTTTCATGTATGTATGTCATCACATGATCTTCTTCCTGAATCCATTTCCAAATTGTTAATATTAAACTGTAATATTCATATTTATAGTACTATTAGTACTATACACAATTTTCATTGATTCGTACAGTATACTCAAGTGATTATTTTCCAAGGACCGTTTCTGTAGAACACTTTGCCTCATTACATACATACTTCTGCTCGTGTAAATGTATTTTAAACATAGGTATAAGAAATTTCTTTTTGATAAATTGCAATAATCATTTGATTTCTAGACATATCTTGTTTGTTTGTATGTGTGTTTCTTGTTTTGATTTGTGTCTTTGTATAATGTTCAATAACTAATATATTTCATACTTTTTATTATAAATAAATCAGCCTTTATACAAGGAATATTTTTTCTTTCAGGTTGTTGCAGCCTATTCAGTTTGTTTTTAATATGATTGAGTATATGTAATCTTTTTTTTAACTGAATTTTTTTTTTTTTTAAATTCCCGCCTGATGCCATTGCGGTAGCATACTGTATCTGAAGAGCAAGTAAGCAAGAAAAAAAATAAATGAAAAAGGGAAGCCGCCCCTAGCCTTTGGTTGTATTTGTGTTGGTCCCTATACTATAGGGTAATGGTGTAACAACTAATTTCAACATCTGACATTTCTGTTGAAAAACGAAAACATTTAGAAGAACAAATTATTCATTGAAGATAGAACATCTTTTAAATGAAAATAGTATTTAAAAAATAGGCCTATATCACAGCACCATTTGAATAAAAATATCTTCTTTTGTCCTCTTTTAAAAATGAAACATTGGAGAAGAAGACGATAGGTACCCTCATCCATAATCCCTCCCTCGAATCCCTTCCTCGAGTCCCTCCCTTGAATCATAGTTGAATTTCACATTTCATTTACCAAATACCATTTCTACAAAAACTGTACATTGTAAATTTCGACAAAAAAAATAAGCAGTAAAGGAGTAAAATGGTTTGTAGTTTTCAACTAAAAAATAAAATAAAAAATAATTAAACCTGAATTAAATCACATAAAAATGATAATCCATTAAAAAAAAGGGACAATATTTTTTTAAGATTATGTATTTTTATGCGTTTGTTGGAAAATTACAAAATCCCAAATTTACAGTTAGGCAAAAAATATGCTTACTTAAAGGCCTTCCTGTCAGGGTCTGCAGTACGGCGGGTTCCGGCGGCTCAAGCCCCCCTCACTTTTTTAAAGGTAGGTTAAAGAGAAAAATGAATAAAGAAAACAAATTAGTGACCTGCCAGTGTCACAACATAATAAGGTATCAAAATATGCTCATCAGACCGTAATTAAATGCTTAAAACCCCCTGAGCTTACGGGAGCACCGCCCCAGAGCTTCCGGGGCCCCTGGACCTCACCAGGGGCCCAAAGGCGGGCCCCTGGATGCTCATCTGACCATAATTCGATGCCCCTGAGCTTCATTTCATTTCATGTTTCATCCCTTAATTATGTCTATAGAGGATAATAATTATTGTTCATATTTACATTTACAATCTTGCTTCACAGTAATTTCACAGGAACAACAACAATCATAAGTACTTAATAAAATACATGTGAATTGTAAACAAAAACTGCATGTTTTGTCCCCGGCCCCCCCCCCCCCCCCCCCACTCAGGTTTCGAAATGACCGCATGCGTGTTGCCAAAATGTCCGGTAAAGGGGTACTTTTCGTGCGACAAAGTCCGGCCCGAGAATTGTAAAAAAAGGGGGTGTATTTGACTTTTCACCCGGAGATTTCTTTAAAAAAGGGGGTGTTTTTCTTTTTTTCTCTCATCTATTTGGACTCCTGAGAAATTATTCCGAATTTAGGGGGGGTACATTGAGCATTTTTCCTGATTTAGGGGGGTCTCCAAGGCAGGAAAAGCCCGCGAAAAGCCCGCGAAAGGGGGGTTCAGAAATGTTGGCAGTCCTCAGATAGGGGGTGATTTCAAAAAGAGGGAACGAGCATAATGCGTACCCTAAATAACACTGAGTGGGGGGGGGGGGGCCCGGGGTTTTGTCTAAATTTTGTTCAACCTCTTTTCTGATTTAGTCTCAAGGCCCTGTTTGTAGTACTTATACATTTAATATACATGATCATCATCATGATGAATATACTTTTTAATAGCTTTTCTTCTTCTTCTCCTTCTTCTTCTTCTTCTTCTTCTTCTCCTTCTTCTTCTTCTTCTTCTTCTTCTTCTTCTTCTTCTTCTTCTTCTAGGTAGGTATTTAACATTTTTCTAATTATTCCTTGATATGGTATAACAGCAGGGGTACAACAGTAAAGTAAGTATACTAAAAACAAATATTTTCAAGAGCTCCCTGGATCACCCGACAATTAGTAACCTGTCAGTGATGCTCATCTGACAGTAGTCAAATGCCTAAAACCACTGAGCTTCCGGGGTTCCGCCCCTGGACCCCACCAGGGGCCTCAAGACGGGCCCCCGGTGAATGCTCATCTGATCATAATTAAATGCCTAAACCCCCCCCTGAGCTTCATGGGCCTCAGCCCCCTGGACCCCACGCGAATTAGTGACATACCAGTGTCAATAATGTATCTATATTAACTATGTATGCTTATCTGACCGTAATCTAATGCCTTTAACTCCTGAGCTTCTGGGGGCTCCGCCCCTTGACCCCGCCGGTGCAAAGCCCCTGGACCCCACGCCAATTTACGCTCCACTCGCTTTGCTCGTTCTACTCCACTTTGATAAACGTTCAGCGGGGCCGGCATGTAAGAATGGTGGTGATGCAGATTTTTCTTCTGCCCCCCCCCCAACGTTTTTGCTCATTACGCCACTGCACCTGAAACCCGCCCCCCCCCCCTTTCAGCAAAAGTCCGATGTGTAAACAATAAAGTCAATACGGGTAGACCTTTTTCTTTTGTTACTAGCCGGAGAGTTTGGGAACACACATGGTATCCCTACGTTCACGGAGTTGGGGGGGGGGGGGCGGACCCTGAAAGTGAGCCCCATGGAATGTTTGCCCCCTCCCCCATTCAAAACTGCTGCAAGCACGCCTGGTCTGTGTTATTAGACCTGCCCCCCCCCCCCATTTTTGGATCGGAGGGACCGCACGCTTGCCCCAAAAATCTCCGGCTAGTAAAGGGCCAGTAAAACGGGTACTTTTTCGCGCCACAAAGTCCGGCCCGCCATTGACTTTCACACCGGAGATAGGGGGTGCCTTCAAAAGTAGGGAACATGCATACGCGTACCCTAAATAAAAGCCGAGTGGGGTAGGTGGGGGCGGGGACTTAAAAAGCACGTATATAGGACTGGTGCTTGTCGCCTCTGATATTCTGCATCCATTTCTGCTCATAGCTCCAGAAGAGTTTCAGCTACTTCCTCTCTTCGCTGCTACCACGCAAGAGGCGTAACGTAGAACGAAAGGTATACATTTTGCGCAGCAGTGGTCTGTGTTATTAGACCTGCCCCCCCCCCCCCCCAGTTTTTGATCGGAGGGACCGCACGCTTGCCCCAAAAATCTCCGGCTAGTAAAGGGCCAGTAAAACGGCCACAAAGTCCGGCCCGCCATTGACTTTCACACCGGAGATAGGGGGTGCTTTCAAAAGGAGGGAACATGCATACGCGTACCCTAAATAAAAGCCGAGTGGGGGAGGTGAGGGCGGGGACTTAAAAAGCACGTTAGGACTGGTGCTTGTTGCCTCTGATATTCTGCATCCATTTCCGCTCATAGCTCCAGAAGAGTTTCAGCTACTTCCTCTCTTCGCTGCTACCACGCAAGAGGCGTAACGTAGAAAGAAAGGTATACATTTTGCGCAGCAGCGAACACAATTAGCGGCAATTTGAACTGCCGACACATTCGTCCATACACCATGGATTCTGGCTTTTGAATATTTCCTGTAAAAAAATAAGTAGGATCGTGAGCCGATTTTGATCAACCAGTTTACATGATTGACGCGACCAGGATGAAGAAAAATCGTAGATCAACAGATAGTCTTAGGCGTAGAAGTGGACTAAATTTCAGTCCCAAGAAGTCCAGCGATAATGAGGAAAACGTCTCGCCATCCTTGCGGAGATCGCCCCGCCTAGCTGCCCGTCTGAAGTCACCGCATCTGACACCAGTACCAGCGAGTAGTCCGGTTGGGACAGCGATCGCGAAATCTCCTCTCGTGGACCATAATATTTCGAAAGCTGGATCTAAAGTGACGAGATCGTCGTCTATTGCTTCAAGAAGTTCTGTCAATGGGAGGAGGGAGAGCGATGTATTTGACACATCACTGAGTCCTATCAAAGTTTCATCACCAACAAATGATTCAAGCATGTCGAGGTGAATTCTGATTTCTGTGTTTTGCTTGTGGACTACAAGTTTTTGCAAGTTGTCTTATTCAGCCATTGTCTGATATTTCATTTTTTCAATAGGTATTTTAAAAAAAAAATGACAGAAACTCACTGAAACATGTTACTTAGTCTAGAACACACAATAACTGAAAAGAGTCGATTTTGTAGCAGTTAGATCTAGACTACATGTGTGCACTGGTGTAGGCACACTAGCGCTAGTGTAGTTTCGTATCCATTTTTTTTAGCAGTTTAAAAATCCATTCTTAGCAAAGGAAATTTAGCCCAATTTTTAACTAATTTTTATCATAATCATATATTGCATTTTCCACCTGACTTTTGATCACATTTGACATCGGGAAACCTTCGTTTAGGGCTTCGATGTCGACGTCGTCGCTCAGTACCGTCTCTACGCTGTAGTCCTGCACCTCAAACTGAAGCTATCAGTACAAAATTATGCAGACTTCTTGTATGGTTTATGGTATCGCGCATACGAGAAGTCTGCATAACTTGTGGTGCTTGCGGTCAGTTGGAGTGGCGCGCGGCTGTTCCACAAAATTAATACAAAATAAATAAAAATTAAAAATTAAAAATTAAAGAAAGAACAAAATTAAAAAATTATATTTTAAAATTAAAAAGCTCGTAGTCGAAGTTGAGCCCAAAATGTAAGCAAGCCATTTTGTTTGTTTGATTTTCACTTGATTTTGACATTTTCCGTGTTTAATGCACCAAAATAACTACATATAGACTAAATTAACTTCCAGTTCCAGTGTAGATTTTAGCCAGGAATTGTACTAATTATTTTACATCAATATGAAATTATGATTGATGTTTTATGGAACAAAAATGTGTTAAAAATGCCACATCTAGGCCTTAAAAAAGCCCTAAAATCCACTAGCTTCTGGGGGCTTTGTCCCCTGGACCCCACCCGGTATCGGCTCGGTCGCTACGCTCCCTCGCAACACAGTCACTAAACATACAGGTTGGCACTTCAACCTCAATACATTTTTGTTTTGGCACTTCTAATAAACTAGTTGAGAAGGCCTGCACTGGACCGACTCGCATCAAGACTAATTTCAATTTTGTGTGTGTGAGTGTTATTGGATTTTTAACAGACTTGAATCAATCAGATATGATTATTCACATCAATGATCAGGGAAGCGACCTTAAACCGCACCATCTGAAAAACGTGACTCAGTTTTGAACCTGGGTCCATAGTTACACAAAAAATAATCACTGTTTTTTACCGCAGCATATATGTGATTAAGCCTTACCGGTAAGTTAGTTAGTGACTTGATCATCTTTCAACTAGAATGTAATGCTGTTGATCTTTAATTCATCTTATCATAAAAGTTTCATTTTATTTTATTTTAATCAAGCTTTGTCATGCAAGACACATCGATGGCATGCCCAGACTCAACCTTTGTGGCAAAAGTAAGTTTTTTGTCACCTATTTCTTTTTTCATCCATCTTTACTTTTTTTTTCTGCCTCCATTATTGAATACTTTCTTTGTTCCATCACGATGCTGTCCATATTAATCTGGCTAAAAAGAAACTTGTGTAAAGCAAACGTGAGCAAAGCTTTCATACCTGGGTGCCAACTGAGTCAACTGACACAGGAACGATTCTGGCAGGGAACAATTTTTGTTATACAACATTTGGGTCGAGATTACATTATTTTTGTATAGTCTTTTGGTTAAAACAGTTTTGGATTATTATGCAATACACTTAGATTTTTTAAAGCCCCACTGTATTACTTGTAGCTTCTTGCTCCCTCTATATATAGAAAACAATGCTTAATCAGTTACCATTTGTCCCCCATGATCCTCTTTTACTAATATTTTTGAGAGCTGAGTTGATGAGATAGCCCCCTGTCAGTGACCACTTGGGTGGTCTCCTAGCTAAACTAGGACAGACGGCCTTTAAATTTCAAAATGTGGAATTTTGTTTCTATGGTTTTATAATTTCAGTCAAAACGGAGGAAAAGAAAACAGACATGCTCAGATGATGAAGAGGAACTCTCATTCTTTGAGTCATTAAAAAAAAAGGTACGTTATGTCAATTACAATTCCTTTTTATGCCTCTGTTACGAAGTAGCTGGAGGCATTATGTTTTCGGGTTGTCCGTCCGTCCGTACGTCTGCACGTACATACGTCCCGTACATCCGTACGTCCCGTTCTCGTGATCGCGTTTTCTCAAGAAACGATGGATGGATTCCCGCCAAACTTAAACCATGTATGTATATTGCAGAGCCCAATGAACTGATTTGATTTTGGGGTCACGAGATCCAAGGTCAAAGGTCACAGGGCTGATTATGTATGCAAAAATAGCTCGTGATCGCGTTATCTCAAGAACCCGTTGATGGATTCCCGCCAAACTTGGGTCATGTATGTATCTTGCAGAGCCAATGAACTGATTAGATTTTGGGGTCACGAGGTCAAATGTCAAGGTCACAGCGCTGATTATGTATGCAAAAATAGCTCGTGATCGCGTTATCTCAAGAACCCGTTGATGGATTCCCGCCAAACTTGGGTCATGTATGTATCTTGCAGAGCCAATGAACTGATTAGATTTTGGGGTCACGAGGTCAAATGTCAAAGGTCACAGGGCTCATTATGTATGAAAAAAAAGCTTGTGAACGTAAATCAATAGAACTGATGAATGGATTACTATCAAACACAAAACATGTATCTTGCAGAGCCAATGAAATGATTAGATTTTAGGTTCATGAGGTCAAAGATCGAAGGGTCAAACATGTATATGAAAAATAGCTTGTAATCACATTATTCTGAGAATCTTTTAGTGGATTACAATCTAACTTGAATTTTAAAAATTGCTTCTGTTTTGGTTTATAAAATTGCTCCATGGCGGAGGCATCATTTTCGACTGCGCGCAGTCAAAGGTCCATCTAGTTATTCTTACTCTCTGCTAAGATAATTTTAATTTTCTTTTGTTTCATAAGGCAATTCCATCTTTATGCAAAAGGAAATTGTAAAACATGCATTTGCAGTTACTTATTCAAATGTACCAGGGGGGTGTTTCATAAAGCTGTTCATAAACTTACGCATGACTTTACGAACGACTTGTATATGAAAAGCCAAATGGGATGCTCAATCATTATTGATTATTATTTATTAAATTAAACTGTGCAGATGTAGATTAACATTCTTATTATAACAACCATTTTTAATGCAAAGTATATTTTTTGCCATAATTTAATTGAGGTTATTGGAAATATCAGAAAAAACTTTGGGCATCCTATCTGGCACTTCATATACAAGTCGTTCGTAAAGTCATGCGTAACTGTACATACTCTTTATGAAACACCCCCCAGTACACTTATTACAATTTTTATCTTCAAAGTTTGGTTACCTCTTTATTGAAATACATTTAACTAGTAACTAACTACATGATAAGATATTGCAGTTCCTTATTTAAATGTACCAGTACACTTATTACTTTTTGAAAACAGATGTAAGATTTCACTCAAGGACATTCTGTTAATTCTCATAAAATGAATGTCCAATCATGGAGTTAGTTACGAGTTAAATGTATTTCAATCAAGAGGTAACCAAACTTTGAAGATAAAAATTGTGTGGAGAAACTGCATGTATATGGGCAATACAATTGATATTATATAATATTATTTTGTGCTTTTGAAATTACATAGAAAGGAGTTGAATCTTTCAGATAACACTAAAAAGTAAAATTTGACAATTCCAACCGAATAGACCTTTATTGAGCTCTGCCTGAAACACAACATTCACATTTTTTGGGTGTTTTTTGTGGTTCCTGGTCATATTTAATGATGACTTGTGTACAGTAATTCCCTTTTTAAATTTTTACATTGTATGCACCTTTCTTTCCACTTGTAGAAACGAAGGAACACATGTACTGATGAAGACAGTGATACCCTGAGCATGAGAAGCTTTAGTCTGCGGGTAAATATAAATGTATTTGTTTAATCTTTATGTGAAACTAAGTTGTATGTACTGAGGATTACCAGTACTCATGTATCAGTGATGAAAAGCCATAAGACTTATTATAACTGAATGATATCCTCTGTCTGTGATGGTCCAAATACATGTATGATATAGAAACAGTCCTGTTTTGATTTGCAGGGGTATTACAACCCCAGAAGCCTTTATCATATCAAGTAATGATGAAAGCAACTCTGGGAAATCAAATGCAAGTTCAAAATAGACCTAGATACATTGCTGAAAAACCTTTGGATTCTTTAACTATCATTCACACTACTGGAAAAACCCATAGAATACCTGCTCTGCATACATTAGCATGGAAGCGAGGAGAGTCAGACTAATTCACTGGTGTTTTGAGAGTGAGTATTTACAATGCAAAAACCGGTGGAGTTTCGGCTGACGTTACTGGGTATTTAAAAAAAAATACTCCAGAGGAGGATTTTTCGATTCATGTTTCCATCGCAACTTCTGACAAAAATCTGCGATATGAGAAAAAAACAGTGGTATTTGCCTGCAGTGTAAGTGCACTTCAATGTAGGATTCTGATTGATTGTGACTGGAGAGTCAAATTGCATTCAAATTGCATTTAATGGTAATACCTCTTCATTCTAGAGTGAAATTTGTGAAAGTTCATGTACTTTAAAGCTTCTGGTTTTACAGTATTACTGTCCAAGCGAATATTGCTTTTTATAATTTCTCCATAATATTTCTTAAATGTTTTGTAAACCCTTGGGAAAGGAAGTCATCACATTACAGTTGAAATTGGTGTCTTTTTACTGTTTTTAGGACCCTTTAAAAGATATTGATTTTCTCCTATTTGATTTTTAGAAACATAATAAAACAGTAAAACATCACAATAACAATATGGAGACAATGACAGTATTTCATGTTGGTACATGTACATGTACATACATAATGTGTACATGGTAGCTTAAATACTTGAGGATTACCAAAGTGTGTCCAATTGCCTCATGACTGATGTGCTGAAAAGGCATTCTGTTTGTAATTCATGTATTTTTTTTGTCATCTTACTGCCTTGCAGAAACGCAGGAACACAGATGCAGGCAGTGACACAATCAGCCTCAGAAGTTTCAGTCTTCGGGTAAGTAAAACAAACAATTTTTTATGTGTATCCTTTGTGTCTTTCCACATAGATGAAGACTGTATAAATCTAGTTGCAGTATACACATGTACCCTGATGTACATGTCCTCTTTGTTGATAAGATTTTAGTTTCATAGATCAAATTCATGTCACTGAGATCAGTTGGTTATCTGATATATTGTGATATTTGCTCTATGTTGTACATTTATATGTAACTATTGATCATTGAATGTACATAATTTTGTAGTGGCAAATTAAAATTTAATTTGCATTCTATTGTAAGAGAGATATATTTTAGATAACATTGTATCCAATTTTAAGAACTCTTCATCTACTGTGGTTTTTATGACTAGGTGCTCTAGCAACACTCTGCGGTCAATTTCCTACACTAACTGAATTCCCAACTTAAACCTACAATGATCAAACACTATGGTTGACTCTAACCCTTACCTTACCATAACCCTTACCATAAATCTTTGACTTTAAAGCCCAGATCGGTTTTTGGTATGGATATGTTGTGCTGTGCTATCTGGGAGGTGTTTCATAAAGGTGTTCGTAAGTTACGCATGACTTTACGAACATCTTGAATATGGAAAGCCAAATGGGATGCTCAATCCTTTTTAATTGCATCAACTAAAGTTCAACTGTGCAGATGTAGATTAACATTCTTATTATAGCAAACATTTTTTAATGCAAAGTATATTTTTTGCCTTTATTTAATTGAGTTTACTGGAAATATAGTCACACTTTGTTAAAACATCTGAAAAAACTTTAGGCATCCTATCTGGCACTTCATATTCAAGTCGTTCGTAAAGTCATGCGTAACTTACGAACAGCTTTATGAAACACCCACCAGATCTGATTTGTCTATAAGCCCAAAAAAAGAAAGAAAGTGGACACACTTTTTTGTTCTAAACTTGTAAGGTACATGTAGCCGTTAATTAAATATAATGAAACATACATCAAATTTTCCGTTATTTTCAGCACTTTATCATTGTTGTCATTATTTTCTTATGCAGTCTTCATTTCGAATAAAAAGGGACCCCAAGCCAGACCTTGATACACTTAGTTTGCAAAGCTTCTCAATGGTAAGTGCATTAAAAGAATCATTACATATTTTTATATATATTTGGGTAATAATTGGTTGAAATTTGGTAAAGGTAAAGAGGCATTACATTAAAAAGTCATTAAACACCGGTCTGTCTTCAACCCTTAAAAGATATAATTGATAAATATAAATCCTCAGTATATGCCCCCCCCCATACCCCCCTTTCCCCAAACCAAAAGAAACAAATCTGAAAGCAAGGGTTCATGTATTGTACTGTATATTATGAATAATTATGTTGACAGTGTGTGTCACACACATGTTTACCAAGAGTTTTTGAAAATTCTGTTTGGGTTTCTAATGTTTGCAATAGATAAATTCTATTTTACAAATGGATATGTAGCATAGGCTTGTTTGATTAAGTTAAATTTTTCTCCACATTGGTCTTGCATGATCTGTGACTTGAGCAAGGGATATATACCAACATGGTTTAACTCAGCTCCCTGACTCTACTATGCCCTTGTTAAATGTGAGTAACATGTGAAGAAAGAATAGCGCCATCTTGTGTTCAGCCAAAGGAAAGGCAATAAACAGGGAGTTTGACCCTGATATTAAATCGGTTGTGCTACATACTGTAATGCGAATATTGTAACCTGATACTTGAGTATGATTTTGACACTTTAATGTTAATACAGATGGTCATCCCGCTCTGAAATATGTAAGGAAATATGACTCTTTTTTGTTTTTTCTGCTTAATATTATGTTATACAGACTATCTGCTCTTAATATCTCTGTATATTTCTCTAAACATACTCTCTAAGTGTCATATGCTACATACGAGTATGGGGTTGTTGATTTTTCAAAACAGAGAAATGGGGCAGTCTGCTGATTTTGCTTCAACTTTTTGGACTATATTTATATTAACAAATAAATTTGAAAATCAAAAGTTAAAATGCAACATCATACAGCCCTAGCCTTTTCATGGAATGCAATGTAAAGCTTTTTTGTTGACATGAAAGAAGTTGTTATGTTGCATTAAGATCTAATCATGTATTATTCTCTAATTTACATGGTACTCACTTCATGACACATTCTAAAGAAACACATTTTATATCAAATAACTTCAAAGTCGAGAAGAAAATGCACATGCACTCTATGTGTGTCTTTCTTACACAACTGGTCTCTGTTTAAATGTAAAATTAAAAATAATATCTTATTACTTCATATTATATACATGTACTTAAATATACAATGCACATTATACCAATACTAGTACATTACAACCATATATTGGCATAACAAATTGTATGTTCATGTAACTACTACTGTACATCTACAGTGTACAGTTGTATATCCGTATAATATACAATTATACATGTAACTTTATTACTAGTCATTTTAATTGAGGCAGCCTGTTATACCATGATAATAATGAAAATAATACAGTATCCAGATTAAAATATGCATAATTGCATGTATACATATTATAGGGTTGAACTACTTGTATATTGCACATTATTTGAATATAATATCTAATTTCTAAAACAAGCCATAATTTGTAAAGATCCCTTGCAATGCATAAAAATAAGTTTTCATTCTGTGTAATTTCAATTTATTATGACAACGAACATTTCACAAAATAAAAGAATAGTTCTCAGATATCTCAGTCACACCAAAGAGGCCGGCTACAGTCCAAACATGACATAACATTAGCTCCAATGGCAAAGAATCAGTTGAGTTTAGAGTTGGTTTGGAATCCTTTGGCGGTGTGACTGTCTGACTGAGGTATTTATATGGACCTATACTCTTTCTCTCTCTCTCTCTCTCTCTCTCTCTCCACCCTTTCTCTTTTATCCCATCTCTCTATCACTTTTCCTCTACCCCAGGCATCCTTTCTTTTTCTGACCCCCCCCCCCCTCTCTCTCTCTCTCCCTTTCTCTCTCTCCCTTTCTCTCTCTCTCTCTCTCTCTCTCTCTCATTCCAGTACACTTGTGGATTTTTTTTAACCCTCCATGCATGCTTTGAAGAGCTCTCTCTCTCTCTCTTTCTCTCTCTCTCTCTCTCTCTCTCTCTCCCTCTCTATCCTCTCTATCCTCTTCCTCTCTTTTCTTGCTCTCTACTTCTAATTCATGTATACTAGACTAGAATAAGATCCTTAATCTCAGATCTAAGTGTGGTTTTTATAGATGCAGTGAGCCCTCTCTTGACAGACTGAGCTTGTCTGAATCCTTGACCAATATTTTAGTCATTTTCTCCATTCATGTTGCCTGCAAATGCACAATCAGCATATCAGAAAAAGAAAACCTTACAAAATAGTACCCTGGGGATTATCTTCTCCATTATCCTCTCCCTTCTCTTCCAACCCCCTCTCACCCCAGGGCGCGACAAACCCGCTTGCCCGACGTCCCGGGGCAACCAAATTGAGCCGTCGGGCAAGTAAATCAAATTATCACTTGCCCGATTCGGGCAAGTGATACTTTTACAGTAATTTCCTAGTGTCCAAGAACTCTACCATTCACCCGTCAACTTCTTACCCGTCGTCAAAATCCAGAAGCAAAAAAGCGATCGTTCCGATTTCGAAAAAACTTCACAGACAGCTAGCCAGCTCAGCTAGCTCAGCGCGCATGCAACAGTGACACTTCAAGCCATGAATGCCGCTCCGCCTCCACGCACGGCCGGCCGTGAGCTAGCTAGAGACAGCTAGCGCGATCGTACCCTCTGCGAGCTTATTCGCGCTCTCTCTCTCTAGCTCTGCAGGCCGCACCGACAGGCCTTTGCTATTCTCTGATTGCCGATTGGTTGAATCACGCCAAATATGACGTCATTATTCTAGGGAAATGAACATGTGCGAATCGGAATGGAATAAACAACAGGGATTTTCTAGTAAGTACAAAAAGTCAAATGTTTGATATTTATTCATAATGACTGTTAATGATTGTGAACATATTATTTAAAACTCGCTGCTCATATAAATCAGATGAATGTTTTTGTCTCGTTTTCAATTTATTACTGCGGTCTCAAGATCCGACCGAGCGAGTCATTTTGATAATAGTATCGAGACCCCCAGAATATAAGCCGTTGTTTTGTTTTCATGGTTTTAGCGACGTTGTTTAGTCTAGTTTTCGCATACTTATCCGAGATTTATCGTAAAATATCTTCAATATTATTATTTAGTAAGAATTTACAAATTTTGGCATGATATTTATAGCAGTGAATGATGAAATAAAAATGTCCGTACTTTATTTAAAATAGTTGATTACCCATTATTTACATGACGTTTCTTGATGGAAGAGTTGACCCAAATTATTAACAGCTGAAAATTAGCCTACGTTTCCAAATGACAGCGGCTTGCACAGACACACACGTGCGTTGATCAGCTGTTTTTTCTCGATTCTACCTTGCCGAGATTCATGTGAATCTGATTATTTATGGAGAATCAATAAAATGCGTTTTTTAAACCTTCAACCATCCTTTGTTGACCATTTTCTTTGACATATTAGGTTATTATTCAGTACAGTTACACTGTACATGTACAGTATGTGCATTAATTTGCTATCTAAAACACTAACTTATCATTACGAGATAATAAATGCTTTAACCTCGAGTCCTTTTTCGCTTTAAAGTTTTGGGCAAGTGGAAATATTGTTTGGGCAAGTAAATTGAAAACCCACTTGCCCGACAGGGCAAGTGGTGAAAAAAATTCTTGTAGCACCCTGCACCCCCCCCCTCTCTCTCTCTCTCTCTCTCTCTCTCTCTCTCTTTTTCTTTCTTGCTCTCTGTTTTTAATTCCTGTACATGCAGTGAGCCCTCTCTTGACAAACTGAGCTTGTCTGAATCCTTGACCAAGATTGCCTGCAAATGCACAATCAGTATATTTCAGAAAAAGAAAACCCTACAGAATGTTACCCAACCGTTTTTCCTTGAAAATAAGACATAAAACGGGCTTTTAAAAATCTGTCAACACTTAAATGTCTAGAATGGTATATAGAACCAATTCATTGCTTTGTGACGATTTACATTCACCTAAAATGTAATTAAATTGTAATAATATAGTTGGGACTTGTGAGAATTAAGAAATCGATCAGATCAGTTTTCCCCAATTGTTATTGTTATTAATGGTCTGTTTTCACTCAATTTTTCAGATGATCTGTAATTGTACATTTAGAAGTCACTTCCTTAGCATCATTTTCTCTCATCTGAACAATGTTACCAAGTCCCTTTAAAGAATCCCAAATAGTAAAGAAGAAATACCAGAAAAGAATGGAAAAAAAATCTTTATGACTCTATCCACGTCTCCACGACCAAACCAATTGTTTAGGGATCCCAACTACTATACAAGAAAAACCTGTAAATTAAGGCATTGTTTCATATTGAAGATTAGATAAATGGAAAGAGAAATGCATTCACAAGGGCCTGATTGAGGTAGCAAAGTTGAGGCTCAGTTTGAAGAAAAAAAGGTCTTTTATGATTATGACTCTGGCAATACATCACAGAGAATTTGATTTTTCTCACCTATTTTTGTTTATTTATTACTGAATCAAATTCTTGTTATCCTTTTATCATTAAATTACATGTACATGTACTTGTTTTTATTTTGTTATAGATTCTGTTATTCCTCCAAAATTTCAAAATGATCAAAACATCATTTTGCAATTTGAAACCTTATTTTGAAAATATTTGTTTTATTCAACAAGGCAAAATATTATTATTCATGTTCAATTACCTTGAGAAAACAGTTGGAGTCCCATTAAATTTAAATTAACAAAACTCTAGCCAAGCAAACAGACTGTTTATAGCTCTGAAATCTGGACGCGTGGGAGTGGTGTGGTCATTACTGACATGGTAAACACTACTGACATAGAACACGACACCACACAACACCTCACACATTAACATATAATGAATGTCATTGCTTTGTTTTGGAGAGGTTGTCTGGGACTTCACTATATACATGTATGATGACAAAATACACACTGACGAAGTGACGATATAGGTATAGGTATACCGTACTTCAAAATGGGATATCTCAGTAGATCAACAGCC